GACGTTCGTATTAAAGATTCTGACTTTGGTGTTGGTTTACAGTTGTCTTGAGTCCCCCAAATTATTCAATTCTAAGAATATTGTACTTGCTTCGCATCAGATCCTCATCGCTTATCGACGATGCTGTCCAGGTACGTAAAACTTTCCACCAGTTGCAGAACTTCTCGACCAAGTGTGATTGGTTTGGCGTTTTCCGCGTTGTACTTCAGGATCTCGCTTTTTCCATTGTGTATGTTGAGGCCTATTGCTGCAGAACTTTCTGCTACATTGGTTGTCCTGACCTGTATTTGTTCATATCTATGGGATAGATGAGCTATGTCATCTGCAAAGTCCAAATCCTCTAGTCGCATCCAAGCTGTTCATTGTGTCATATGATTCCCCTGAGATGAGGAGGTATTCATGATCCAGTCAACTACCAGAATAAAGTGGAAAAACGTTGGTGCTTCTATTTCATTTCCACAGTTGCTAGTTCCAACTCATAAACTTTAAACACCTCGATTCTTCCGAAGTTTTTGCAATCCCATCAAACCAACCCCATGTATACTGTTATCGACATAATACAGTTCTCAGATGTCAGTTCTATTTTCAAAAGGTGACACCCATGATGCCATGAAAGACCGTTATCAAGTGTACATCCATCCATCTGGTGAGATGTCTGTTTGTAAATTGGCTGAGATCATGTCAAAAAATATTTTTTCACAAGAAGATTGCGAATATTCCAATTGTTGGAATTACACATTTCTGGAGTGAAGTCTCTGCTTTTGGTTCATACAATTCTCAAATATTGAAGAATTCAACATATGATTCGTATTAGGGCTTCAAGAAAGGGAGGTTGAAATTTCCTGAACGTGGAATGGTACCAGTTCTTACTTATAATCAAGTAAATAAATGGAGAAAATGAAAGTCAATACTATGAATGAGTGAATATTAGAGGTAGGCAAATGTACTAGACGATTAAGAGAATAAACATGGATTGTGTGGATTTTTTTCTGCTGCCCTCCCCGCATTTTTATGTAGATAAGCACGCTTTCAATAATGTTGCTACACTTACTTTTTTAGCGAGAAGGCTAACAATGACCAGGAAGTTGTAACTGGCAAACCGAATTCTATACACAAATAAGTATTATGCATACAAATGTTGTTGTAACCTAGAAAAAAACATACAGGCTATGACATTGACTTAGTGTCTAACTTATTATTGTCAAGTAGCACGTTTTTTCATTATCCCTCACCTACCGTTTAGCATAGGTTCATTACTTAACTAGTACCTTCAACATGGAAATTAAACTGGCTGAAAACACCTCCGAGCAAATTAAGCCCCAAAAATCAACTATTTTCCTTTATACTACTCTCTAATATACTTATCTTGGATGAGAATACTTAAATAGAAACGACCTCATTTGATAATCACCGAGTTTTATCATTTGTTATCTATATCAAGCGAATGATTTCGTCTTGATGTTGAGTGACGTAAATAATTGTTATCAATCATATTATTTTCATTTGTAAAGATAATGACTCTTTATAACTAATAAGTCCCAAATACCGAGAAGTCAGTATAGCAATATTTGTATCATTATAAGTGTTCCGCTCTGTACGTAAAATTTACTAGCCGGAGAAGAAATGAAAAAAAGTTAAATCCAATACTGTAAAAAAGTCTAAATAATAATAATGTTATTATAGAAACAACATCAAACTTATGAAAGCAGCCATATGACAGCTGACTAAAATATTTCATATTGATACAGATAAGGTCTTTTTAAATATTAGAAAAGTCAAGAAACTATTACTACTTAATTACTCTTCTTGTGTAAAGACCTCCATGTAGTTTGTTCGAAACTATTTTCTTTCTTGTTTTTATGCTTCTAACAACATAATTCACAGAATACACCTCAATATCTTCATGAATTGAGTTATAAAAAGTATATTTACAATCAAGAAGATGAATTAGTGTAATTCAATTTCAAGTTCAGCGAAATCAACATGGCTACCAAGGAATTAGTTACCGGACGGTACTGTGGTATATACATTACTTGTTTAACAAGCGTCAATCTTATCAGATTCAATAGTAGAAATAAAAGAATTATTAGAAATTGCTTTACAATTTGTAACGTTTACTTTTTAACACAATGTAAAAGTAACTAACAAACTCGATGAGGACATAATCGGTTCAGTCGCAAATGCACCAGCTTAATAGAATGAGTTTATCTACATTTGAACATTTAAAATCGACCTTAATTATAAGCATCTTCGACCGAATTGAATTTAGTCATTTATCGACGCATGTTCTTCTTTTTAAATGACATTTCACCTTTTGACTTTCAGGGATTATTTAATACTGCTTCTATAAACCTCTTAAGATTTAATACATCAAACAACTCAACTTATTTTGTATTGATCGTTTTATTCCTAGGGATTAATAATAAAGCTTGTATTTTGAGCAAATTAAATAGGCAGTTCTAACAAATTAACCACGTGAATTAAGATGATCGGATATTAGAAATAATCATTCTAATACTATTCCTGTTTTCGGCGAATAAAAGTTTATTTGTTTCATTTATTTGGTAGATATGTCCCAGCTGGCTAACGCACAGACTCAAACATATTTACTCAATAAACTAAATGGTATATGCAGTTGCAAATTCAGGTGGAACTATGTGATAGCTACTCAAATGACTTCGTGTACTTTATAATAATAATAATAATAATAATAATAATAGTGTACAAAAGTTCTATAGCAGAAAAATAGGTTTAATTTGCTTTTTATCAAAGTGATATACCAGTAACAAAAGACTGCATGTCATCTACTTAACAAATAATAGCATTCTTCACAATATGTATATGTATCTAACAGAGACATTCACAACCAGCTCGATCACATAGATAATAATTCACCGAACAATACATTGAATAATTTATTTTCCGCTCAAGTTTCTACTGCTACTCAGTTGTGTAAAACAATGATCACCTTATAGATACGGGCAATATCGAAGGACAACTTCCAGGAAATCAAGTTTCACAAGAAAGTCACTGCATATAATCCTGAATATTGAAGACGGAGTATACAGACTCATAAAAACAAAAAATATCACACCAATCTAACGAGTTAGTGGTTATCTAGGCTCGGCAATCCAATTCAGAGTTGGAGTCTCAGTGTGAGCATCAAATCGAGAAAAACCCTGGTTAGATAACCATGTTAACCACATTGGCGGTCCTGGCTCAGTCTTGTGTATGATATGTGTATGAAGGTTAGGGGTTATACGTGGCAGGGTGCGATATTGAAGACAGTTCTACAACTATAATGTACTTCATCACTTCCGTATTTTAGCATACTAGCTGAGATTCAGTCTGATTTCTATGCGTAATATTATTTCGGTGCATTAATTGCATTGAGAACATTCGAACATTGAAGCACGAACTAGGAATTTTGCCAGATGATATCCATTTAATGGGTTTTCGTTTGACACAGATGGACAAACGTTTCCACCACATAGTTCCACAATAGGTGTCGGATATTTTATACTTCATTCTTTTTAATAAATATACTCTCTTCTTTTGCTTAAGAATTTTATGCAGGTACTTCCAGCTGGCGAGGCGCATCTAAAATGAAACGCGCGTCCTGGATTCCATTGCTATTCACTATCCATCTTTGCTCATGAATCTTGTGAATTAGGGTAATATCGAGCAATCTGCACAGGAAGCACATGTGCCAACAAGAGACTGTTCAATTACAGTCCTAGACAACAGTGAGATGATGTAAACAAACAACACTTAGTGAATTTGACTGACTGGAACAGGTCAAGCGTAAGGTTTTAATACAAACGCACAAACCTTCTGGGATTAAATATAAGATGATAAGAAATATAACGCCTACACAAAACAAGGTAGTAAATAAGTACTTTGGAGATAATGCTTTGATCTTAATTAGAGATTCTCGGTCAATTAATCCACCCAACTTAGGCGATTGCTGTTTAGCAAATGCTAAATGGTGGTTATTTCTTTTTTTCAATTTTCTGGGAGATTTGTAGGTTGCAACTTCGTTTAATGACATTAAATTCATAGGTTATTTCTTCGATTTAACCCTTGTTGTGTCGTGTTTAAAATTCTCCGGGCGTAGTGCCTATCTGTAGGGTTATACCGAGATCCTGATGCGGGGACCAACATATGTATTATTTATTTCACAGATAAAGATTGAACGGTTGAACTGGTCTGCTGCAACTTTACACCAGAACTTTTTGAAGCTGCTTCAGCGCAGTGGTCTTTTGTTTTCAAGTCCCGATTAACGATTGTTCCTAGGTCTTGTTATTTACGAAGATTTGAAAGCATTGTTATACTGATGGTATACCGGAGTCTGTTGCCATGTCCATTTTGTAATAACCCAACCTCAACTTTGGGAGTATCTATTTAATTTATTTGATTCCTAGAGCTCTACTAGGACCAATATCGGTCCGAAACTACGGCAAAAGAAGGAGGTTTAGTGTGAGGTTAGCAACCCCATACTAACATTAATTGCAACTGGAGTGTCAAAAACCTGAGCTGTGATGACACGATTAAAAGTAATACAGTTCTAGAGATAGTTTTTTCATTAGCCCAAAGGATACATCTTTTCAAATAACCTGCTGAAATCTACGAATATCACGTCGGTAGACAAACTGCTATATTGAGCTGCTGAAATTTCTCCCTTGAAGTTAGTTAACCGAACAGGAACTCTGATTTCAGAACCTGTGTTGCTTTGAAGCCAACATGTTATGGGATTTTATATAGCCCAATAATGTAGCACGAATTGCTTTGTTATTACTTAAACTGATATGCTAGTAAAACTGACAAGTGAGTGTTAAGCTGTTTTATATCTTTCTTCTCCCAAGAGCTTATCATCTATGAGACCATAACAAGACTATTTACAAGTTTACATTCGGAAAACTCAGAGTGCCGCCATATTTTCTTCGAATATGTGGTATCAACTCTACAGATGAGTACGGAAATTTTCTCGACATTGGCAGTTCATGATGAAAATCCGATTTGCAGATACGGATCCAAACGGCTCTAAATTCGTCTTCTTTATTCTAAATAGTTGAGCAGCATACTTTCTGTTAACTCAACTGACCAACTTATTCTATTACTGAAATTAAATATTGAAATCTCAGGCGCGTAACTCGTTGGCGTTGTGAAGTTTTCTACCATCTTCCATAGTGTATGTATTCATGAGCTATATCAAGAGATAAACATAAAAACTTTTTTTTGTATTTATCCTTTGACGACCATCTCAACAACAAATATTATTAGGGAATCGTTTAGGGTTGACAAACTCACCTTAGGCCCGTTTTTAGAAGTTTTTTTCTGTCTCACGGAGGGATTTTTATTGTTACTCTTCATGTAATAAAAAGTGGTGGATAATTTCTCAATTTTACTCATATCTGAAAGCATGTTCACATGTTTTCCCTCCTAGTCGAGGCCGTTGCACTTATACCAGTCACTGAGTAACATTGCCTGTAATTCAAGAAAATAATATACATTCCACCGTATCACGACGGCCTGATAACTTATCTCTGCGCACAAAACGCAACATTGGTTTCATTCAGTTAGTCATCATTGACGTAGAGCTGATCAGTAAAAGTCCTGTTTCGTGGTCTTTAGTGCGGGACCAATGTAAAAAAACCAGTCAAAAACAACTCTTAGAATAAAGCAGTAGGAAACTTGCTCACATTAACGGGGATCTGCGACATACTCGAAAGAAAATTGCTCTCTTAAGTGTTGACATTTAGGAGTGTAGGAAAATTTGTTGCAGTCTTCACTTCCGGTGTCTGATCTGTATGACCTTTGAGGTCTACGATCACGTAGATTTAGTCTTGTAGGGTATTTTAGTACACTATCAACAGTTATTTAATTAATGTAGTGTATACCTAAATTTGTTTAATATTGAGTTATCATTGTACCCTCGCACTGTTTATGTTGCCACGTCCTGAGTCAGTCTGTACAGGTATATTGATCTTTAATCCTTCTACTCCGACTAATAGATTTTGGAATGAGGAACAAAATTGCGATTATTTCGCCCTCTGAACAGTTCACTAGGGAAATTTCGATCCTTTCATGTAAAAATATTCACATTTCCAGTATATGCCCATTCTTTCGTAGATCTGGTTACCAGCAGTGAAACTTCGCAAGGAGTAGGCATATGCTTTCAAGTCCGAATGCTGATTCTTCCCCATAATAATTTAAACCGAGGTCCTAGCCACTGGCAAGTAATTTACACTATTTACATCCAAATGTACTCTCAACAGCGATTTCATTAGAAGAATTTCATGCTATTGATTTCAAGACTTTACTTAGGGACGTCAGTCGCTTATGGTAACGCAGGACATTTGCTGGATTGTGATTAAATAGATTGCAATCTGTTACTGGCCCTGCCGTTTTATTTAACAATGGTTTTTGTGATAACAAGTTTCTGAAATAAGAAAACAATCCCCTCGGGCTGTCTATTTAATTGTTTCTTAGCTTGAAAGTTTCTGATTTTGTGGTCATATTCATATATTTCGTATGGTCTATATGCCATTTTCAAGTCACTGCAAAATTTTTAAGATGGGAACGTAAAAGAATAGAGCCACAAAGATTATTGCATGTGGAAATTTTGGGATCTGTATAACTAATCTGCTTGTGGAAATCGTTCATACGTACGTTGTTCTCTTCATATAGGTCAAACACTGACTGAAGGACTATTCTGAGAACCTCCGAGTAACTAGTCCTTAAGTCGGTTATCTAACAAACTTTCTATTTCATTCATGGTTGCCCTTTATTGGAGCATATTTTCAAGGTTGGTTTAATGATGTTTGTCGCTTAGTAAAAACTAGGTTTCGTGCCGATTTTAATCATTTCAAATGCTTGACTGCAACACCGTCCAGATCAGTGAATACAAAGTTAGCCGTTTATCTTAAAATTTTGTATTTTAAGACGATTAGAACACCCCAAAACAAAGGGCAATAATCAGGAATCTGTTGTTACATCGGATGATGTGTCTGAGTAAGTTGTTTTTTTTGAATGATTTACTCTATAGCTATGCAAAATCTGCAAACGTCGTAAAGTCAAAGTATGTCAGAGCTGTTTTGTTATATCAATAACTTTTGACGGACAATTTTAGGGACCTGCTTGGCGATTTTATTAAAGAATATCGTCTTGGTAAGCATTTTTTCTATTTTTAATTGCGACTTCATGCAAGGTAGTGACGCACCATCAACAGCATTTGTTGATCTTCCTTCACCGGCTAATGTAAATATTTTCACTCACGAAAATGGTAAGTGGTCTTCAGATCAAGTTAATGTTTAGTCCTACCTGCTGATTCTTGTAACTCATTAAACCCCATTTTTGATGCCGTTGAGAATTTGGAAGCCTCACTTTTCAGTTGTGCTCTTCCAAACAACCAGTTTGAAGAATGGTTAAAGTGGACTGTCGAAAAGAAAATGTGGAGTTTTCCGATTAATAATGAACAAGGTATATGCATTTGTTTTGTATGTGTATATTAAAGTAACCGTTTATGATGAGTCCGTTCCCTTAAGGTATCCTAACCTCTTGTTATGTGATATGGTTTCGGTCAAGAAATATTGACCGTGTGACCTACAAATCCTAATTCACTTGTCGACTTTAGTAGCCTGTGTGCGAATGCCCGGCATGTTTCATTAATATTGCTTGGCATCCTGTAAATAAGGTCGTGTAAAAAATAGATCATGGAGTGATGACTGCATGTATATAACTGTAACTTAAGTAGTATTATACTTGTTTCACATGCATAATTTGTCTTTAATAAAAGTTTCCAGAGTTAAAGGCTGCAGAATAAAACTCTAGAAACTTCCATTAAAAACATTATGCTTGCGAACTTGAACTGATATACGTACATACGAAGTTCTACGTTGTTGCTCACTGACTGAAGCCTGCAGAATCTGGATGTTTTTTATGAACTCAAAATCTGTGTTTTGGGGAACTTGTTCTTCAGTTGAAAGTCAGTAAGTGCAAGTTCCCATGAATCTTCTGATTTAATGCTGTTCCATTCCTTTTTACTGCATTGTTGTTCAGTAAATTACTTAACCTGTTGTTTGACAACACCTTAAGAGCCTGTATCTCTAAGCTATACACTTAATATTCTAGAAAATCAACACTGGCTGGCTCTCCATAAGGATTGTTCGTCTTGGAAAAACAAGCTTGTTATTAAACTGACCGTTGTAAGAGCGTTGGAATAACTTATTACAAACTAAAAATTGTCGAATATTCCCTAGAATCACATTTCCCTTGTAAGGTTCGAAATATTCACGTGAATTGTCCATCAGGGTTGATGTGAAACTTCTAATTAAAATTAATAGGATTCTACCGACAACCAACCCTAGTTATATTTTTTAACTTTAAGACGGTATTCAACTCCCTAAATGCACAGGTTTTATAGCATTCTGTAGTTTAAAATGATACCGGATTATTATTTATTTATTTGGACATAAATATTAGTACAAGGGGGCACCAAATATATATGCGCCACACAAAACAATGATAATTTGAAGAAAAGGAGGAAAAAAGTAGTGAACGTGGGGAATTATAAAAAAAGAGAGAACAATAATAGGGGAAACGGAAAGGTACAATCAGAAGATATCTCACATTCAAGGAGGATACAGCCACTTTTTATGAAGAAAGTAAAAGAAGGTTACAGAAGGATCGCCATTGGCTTCTATTCTGAGCTATGTCTGATAACGTCTCTAGCCACTGTGTTACACCGTCTCTCGGACCCCAGCCAGGGAGTCGTGAAGAACCAACAGAAGCTAGCCCTTTGCAGCTTTCTTTCATACCACGACACCATGTCATATACTGACCACCTCTCCGCTTTTTCCAACCAGTCCCAGAGTCGGCAAATAATGCACGATGAGGAATTCTCTGGGACGACATTCGTAGAACATGTCCAAGCCACCGAAGTCGGTGTTTCAAGATGGTGACACCAATGGAATTATCGTCTCTGTACCCGAACACACGATGCCGAACCTCTGCATTACTAACATGGTGTTGCCACTGGATGTCAGCAATCCTTCGGAGACAGCGATGATCAAACACAGAGAGTCTTCTAACATCCTCAACTCGGAGAGGCCAGGTTTCACAAGCATAGAGCAAAACCGGAGAAGTTCATCGACCCTGTCCAGGCTCCGGCTTTAAACAATAGTGGTCAGATCCGAGTTTAGTGCGGGCTGTCACAAAATTGAAATTACCAAATGGTGTTTGTCAGGGTTGTCCGTTTTCTCCATTTCTTACTCAACTTTATTGTAGACATTCTTATAGATATGATGCTCTTATCGTCCGACTTCTCAGGAATTGATTTTCTACTAATAGATCCACTTATTGGCTTAAAATACTCAAATAATATATTTCTGTTATTCGAAGACGTCGACAAAATACAGTCTCCTGTCCATCTTAAGAAGTAGTGCAGAGATGTCCGGGATGCCGTTATCACTCTCGAAATGCAGAATAATAATTTAGGAATGTTCTATGTCTAGACCTGAACTAATAATAGATGGTAAACCAACTGAGCGTGTTCACTGCCCTTCTTACTTTAGGACGAAATTTCGGCACGGGTTCAAAATGGTTGGTTGGCTTCCGTCATCTTATTTCACTTGAAGAGAACTCCGAATATCTACCAAACGACGATTTTACTGCACATTACTTCGTTCCGCTTTACAGCACTCTTTATATTTATCATATTAGTGTCTGTCACTTTTACCTAAGATGGATTTAGATAACTTCAAGTCATTTAATGTCGTAGGCTAAATGCTATCTGCACCTTACATTAAACTAAAAAAAACATTTATAGGCATCAATGTCAAGGTTGGACTTGATAGTTTCAAGTAAACTGAGCGTTGAGTAGAAAGTTAGTGACAAATATATTTTTGTTATATCTAAATGAGTAGAAAAATTATATTTCAGACGTTTCGTGACTTGATGTAAGTCGCTTCTTCAGAGTAAATAGATAACTGAATAAGTCACGAAACGTCAGAAATACAATTTTTCTACTCACTGGAATATAACGAAAATGTGCCTATTATTAAGAAACCATTTATATACAGTAATATACTCATACACTCCCACATTTTTTGGCGACTGAATATTTTTCAAAGGTTATGATTTTTCTTGAAGAAAAGCGTTTAGAAACTGGGATAAAGATATCACCAGTGATTTTGAATGTCTGATAGACGGATAAAAACAGACGTTGATCTTTATGATTTATTGCGCACCAATATGTTTATATTTTCCATTTAAGCACTTACTAAACGGTCAAAGATGATGCCTCATATACAGAAACAAATATATTAAGACCATTTTCCCATATGGTATTTCAGCAACTCAATGTACTAAAAATCCGTACCTTGTTTGTATACTCAACAGATTGGGATTCCGAGTTAGATGTACCGTTTTATGAACATGTATTCCTGGAGAATCATCTAAACAAGGAACATTTCAAGTGTAAACCATTGGCATCGTTCTTGGAACTTGTTTGTACTGGACTTTCGAAAAACCCTTATTTTAGTGTTGACGACAAAAAGCAACATCTCGAGTGGTTTACACAGTTCTTTGACGATAAGATAACACGAATAAACGCTTCCATAAAAGAAGAACATATGGCTAATTTGGAGAAAATTTCTAGAGGAACTTCGACATAATCTACTAATTTTTACTTTTCAAATAAACTATTCCCTAGGAAAATTCTTGGAATGTTTTTAAGTTTTACGATAATGATTTACTAGTTGCTTAGTTATAAGTACTATAAATGTCAGTGTACATAGTCAGACTTGTGATTTGTAGTATGTGTGTTTGCTATGTCGTAGTCGTTGTTAGACATGGATATTCGCAGTTTTATTGTCGAAGTACTAGTTGAGGACTTCTTTCCTGAAGTGGCAGTTCAAGATTTTAAGCAAGTAAAACTCTCGTTTGGACGTTTAGTAGGTGTATCAAATGAAGCTACATTTATTCTAAACGAACCAGTTGCCATGACTTTAGGTTAATGTGTCCATTTCCTACTGGTTAAGAAAGTACTTATCGAATAGGTAGTATAGTAATATGTTATTAAATAGAACTGGTTAATTACACTGGCTGGGAAATCAGTTCTTGAATTGAAACAAATACGATCATCATACAAAGCTTGGAGATCTTAGATGATACAAAAAAACCGTTTGTAAAATTAACTGTTTATAAGTGTAAGTATTATTTTCTTCTGACTCCACATATGATCGATCTACAGTATCTTCATATATATTTAAGCGAACACCATTTGATTTTATTATTAATCTATCCAAAAGTTTGATTAAGTTTACTTAGGCGTTGCAAAGAGTTACTGCATAATTCACTGAAAGGTTAGATTTTCTTGTTTGTTGCTCACAAGTTAACAAATGCCATATGAGTACGTACATTTAAATTCAAACAGGATAAGGGGTCTTTTCTGAGTCACATTGATTTATCACAGAGTGAAACATTAAGCAGAAGTTTGCCATAAGACGCAGATTATTAATGTTTTTTAATGATTACAACTCAGTCGGATAAGATAGATACCAGACTAGTACTATGTAACGAAGGTCTCTAAGTAAGCCACCTAAGTCAACTTAGTATCTAATATAAGAAGTAAGCCAGGATACTTTCAGAAAGAAGGGCAGTCATGAGAATTGGGGTTTCTGAATATGGCTTGAAGTTATTTTCAAAAAAACGCAACCACTCACTCGCCTAACAACTCAATATTGGAATGTTTCTGAAGGGGTTCATCAGTTTCTGCGTGTGCTGGCGTAGAGTGGAACTCCTGATTCAATAGGTTTTACCACCTTAAAGCACCGACTTTCTGACTGAGAAATATCTATCTGGAGTACTCAACAAAACAAATCAGTTGACGAACAGTTGTATTTATTAGTGCGAAATAACAAAGGGAAACCAAAACTTCTGATTGATGTACAATAACTGATAGAAGTTACGAAAACAGCTACTGACCCTCGGATTTACCGCTAAGGTGTTGAAAACCTACCTACACTATGATATACAGTTGTGCATAAACGAGACAAACATGTCTATGGATTCACTCGAAAAGGATGGTAGTACCTTTGATACACCATAGAAAAATTAACAAATATTCCCACTGGAGGAAGCCAACTGTAAGCCATATATTATCCAATCTTACAAGTTGTTCATGTTCGTTTCTGACGATGACTGGGGATACAATCGAACCACTTTGGCGTATAAAGATGACAAATTCGAACTGAATAATTCTATCCTAATAATGGAGACACTTCTTACAGAAAACGGGCGTTATAAAAATTCAGCTCTGAAGTTAAATAAGTAGACATACTGAAACCAAGACAATTAGTAATAATAATGACAATTTGATTATTGACGCCTTCACAGTGATAATATAGTTTGAACAGACTCAGGATTGTCTTATAGGTTAACTCACACCAAATATACTTAGGTTTGTCTGAGTGTCACTTCATTAAATGGTTTAGTCGAAGTCAGAGTACTTAAGGAACACATCTCATACTGAGTAACCTTAGCTCGAATGACTTAAAAAAATTTTCCCAATAGTATCTACAATTATATATTTAGAAAAAGTATTAGTCCTCTTCCATAGCTTCGTTAACAAATGACTCGCCTTTATTTTCATGTGGTTGCGGAATAAAGTAATACAAACCATCATCTAACTGTTTACAAACAACAAGAACTTCAGGATGGAGCGAAGTGCGCATCATACAACTATCTTTTCCTGCTAACTCCTCGACCCCCTCACCGTCTGTCCAAACTGCAAGCAGGCCAACGCGAAATTCCGAGATTTCAATTTGAAATAACTTCTGAAATACAAAATAATTTGAAAATAATAACTTGTAGACGAATAAAAGTACTATACCTCAACAGTATTTTGTACACATCTTTTAACACTGGTAATTGTGAAAATGACAGTTTCATCAGAAGACGAAACTACGTCATAATTTGTATAATTTAAATGGATATACACATATAAACCCATAAGTATTAATAAAAACAGTTGAACAAGTTTGACAAAAACTACAGCCGTGTCCAGCTACTACAGTTGCTGAGAAAAGTCGTCATTATATGAAACAATACCATGAAATTAAAATGGTTATTTCAGGCTAAGATTCATTCCGAAAAGTCAAAGGAATCATGCAACAGTTCGAAACCGGAGTCAATGGAGGTTCTGAAACAGCCTCCTTTTTAGTTACCAAAACAATAAAACATTGTATTGAAAATCGAACCTGCCTACGTCGCAATTACTAATATACTTAGCGTCTTTATCGTTCGGTCATCACTTTATTTTCTGAAAGATGTCGATCCATTTCAAGAAACATCCTAGATTCACTAAACTACATTTGAATAGATCAATGTACTTATAGATTCAATTATTCTTCATAACAGGTACAGGAGTTCGTTTCAACAGGCAGTTGAGTAGTTTTCAGATCAACATGCGAAAAATTAAGCTCTTTTGTGGTGCGTGTAGTGGTAGTATGTATGTATCACCAATCGAAGAGAACGAGAACAGAGTGATTGGTATGGAAACTAAGGAACAAAGCCTGAGACAAGTGATGGGTATTTTGCAAATGAAGTATTTACTGAATGGTTTCCAGATTTTATCAAGATATTTTGTAATGTTGCATTAAAAATACATTCGGTTGTCCCCACTTGTGTTCTCGTTCACAACATTACTACAACGCCATTATTCTGATGTCGAGAAAGATGTTAAGGTCAAAAAGTGTTTCCGGCATAGACAACGAAAAAGTGAGATCATTTTAGAATCCAAAGTGAAAACTGGGTGTCGTTACCTTTTATAACTAAATCTGATTTGATTAGACGAGACTCAAGGAGCTGAGGATCCACCATTTCATGTGAAAATTATAATTGAATTAATCTCAGCGATTGAAATTTAAATAATTCCAGACAAGTTAGCTGGACGAAACGTTGGAATTATTTAAATTTCAATCGCTGAGATTATTAATAATAATCATAATAATAGGAGAAGCAGTCCAATTAGACAAAACACAACCAGAACGAATTCTTTCACTTAAAGAAGTTACGTTCACTTCTTTGAAGAGAACAAAACGAAGTTACATTGCGATCGTCAATGGCTTCTATTCTGAGCCGTGTCTAATTACGTCTCTAGCCACTGTGTTGCACAATCTTTAGGACCCCAATTTCGTTCAACAGAAGTTTAAATGCTTCCTTCTGGTCAGCGTTTTCTTAGCAGTTGTTTTTACCAAATGGGGCTGCTAACTCCATGCCTAACCATCACCCCTTATTGGGGCTTGGAACCGTCAATAACTCTAGAAGGGTTATAGGCGCGGTTCCGACGGTCGACAAATAGTGCACGACGTGGAATCCTCTGGGACGGCATTCGTAGGATATGTCCATGCCACTGAAGTCGGTGTTTCAAGATAGTGACACAAATTGGATGATCGTACTGTGCCCGAACACAAGATGCCGAGCCTTTGCGTTGCTAACATGCTGTTGCCATTGGATGTCGGAAATTCTTCAGAGACGACGATAATCAAACACAGAGTCGTCTAACATCCTTAACTCGTAGGGGTCACGTTTCACATTCATAGAGTAAAACTGCTTTCGCCGACGCGTTGTAGGTTCGACTTTTTGCAGCCGGACTAACACTACAAAGGTGCATAAGATGGCTCAGATTAGCATAGGTCGTTCTGCCTTTCAGTCACACCACCACCAGCAATTACACAGCTACACGTTTGCATGATTTTATTTATTTCATTTGAACACATAGATATTGCTACAAGGAGGCACCAAATACACATGCGCCACACAGATCTCATTTGATATGTGTGAGGGCAGTGATACTACCCGGGTGCCCAAACCGAAGCAGGTGGTTTACTTAGGGGGCCACACTCCGAGCCTTCGACCTGAACGTCTGACCCACAAGGCAGTGGAGCATCGTAAGGAGATGCAGTCCCATGGTAGCCGGTGACCAACGATCGGATATTGGAGCCCATGTGCACCATTGCATGAACTTTTCAACTACTTCTAACTGGTAACTACCAAGAGTAAGTTCAGGAACAGGCTCCTGTTAGTCTTTTAAAGTTACTTCGCATTTAGAAGGTAGAAAGTACACGCCATATCTGCGAACACTGATTGCCGACTGACTAATTGGAGATTACATGGTTTGAGTAGCATCATACAGTAAGACAATATCTTCCCTATACTCATGGTCGAAAAGTCTTTCTCCAGGCAACAGATCTACACCACCATTACCTACATCCACCAGAGCTGTTTCCAGAACGTCATATGTAGCAAAGTCGGAGAGGAATGGTGGGGTTGAGGAACCCTGCCTACCCTACTGCTTGAATGGAACAACTCAGTTAGTCCCTTAGTTAAAAATTGCCAAAATATCTTTAAGAAACGCCGGAAGTCATCTGAGTCTGGTGATTCGTGGTTCTTCAGAAGTTGGAGCTCCTTGCAGACTTCTGCCTCGTTAGGTGGATCAGTCGTCACTGGCCATCTAGTAAAGGACATTCTAAGCGATGTCATTGGGACATCAGACCAGTTGAATTTCTCCACGAAAAACTCTGTCCATCGTCTGATACGTTGATAGATGTTAGTGATTGATATCCTATCATCCTCACAGATTGTTTGACTGACTCGGATGAGTTGAAAGAGCTTCTGGCAGTTAGCACATGCAGCTGCTACTTTTAACTCATTGGCACGCTTTGACCAATTTTTTTACGTGAGTCTTCGTTTGTGGTCAGACTCGTGATCACCCGGAGTAGACCAATGGGCTTTAATGAGTTGTAAGGAGCCTGAAGGAACCCAGTGCTCATAAGTGATACGTTTCGTGAAGCCGCAAGCGACTTTACTCGCCATTTTCATAGTGTCATACAATTGCTGTCAATGCTCATCGGTATGTTTTGATGGGCTGACAAGTAGCCTTGAACCTAGCCCGGTTTGGTATTTAGTTGCAATAGAAGTTGCAACCAATTTGCTGAAATCGACCTCTTCGAGACGATGAATTTGTTGACTACTGAAACACGACAATGATCAGATTCCAGATAGGTGCTCCAAAAGGAACGGCAGTCTTGTATACAACCATGTCAGCGGTAGCTGACTGCTGCGTAATCACTCTGAGTTCAGGTAGGTTTGAGATGCAAAAGGAAGACGCCAAGTAGCACATCGGAGATGACTGTGTCAGTAGGTAGCGTTAGACAGAATTAGGTTGTAGTCTGTGCAAAGTTGAAGTAAACGGTCGCTGTTATCTAACCTGCAATCAACAAGTCCCGATTGGTCACCCAAACGAATCTCTTCTATGCCTAGACACCAGACGTGCGGATTCAAGTCTTAAGGTAGTACTATAATACCTATTAGACACACATTTTAGAACAGGCAACTGGTATTAAAACGCATCCGGGTCTTAGCATAGGCGGAGATAACAAAAAGACATCGTATCTCACACCGATTTCTTCGCACTTTGATGGGGATTTTTAACTTAATAATATATAACCGACTGTTAATAGGCATCCAATAGATAAGTGCTGCCTCAAGTTTAACACTGAGTGCGACATAAACGTCAACACACCAGACGAAGATACCACAAGGTGCTCGGATAAACGCACGTGAAACCAGCTTTTCGAAGCGACAGATGGAGAGCGAATTTGTAGTACTTCACTAGTCTTGAGTATGAGTCTCGGATAGACAACAGATATCAATGTTGAGACTTTTTAAAGACAGCCAACCCTATATGTTATCCGATTTGCATTAGTATGCAAACGTTGAAGGAGACCAGCTAGAATGACATGTGGTTTTTGAAACACTGGTTCAGTGCTTGTAGTCGGTGGTAGCATTCAACATCTGACCAGTCAGTGACTTGAGATCGTTTTTCAACTCCCCTAGGTGGATCCTCCGTACTCACAAAATCGGTTAAAGTGCCGAAACATTCGTTTTTCGTCCTCCTAATATCGTTATATACTGCCAGTACGAGAAAGCAGTGAGTAAGATTTCCCTGGTAGTGGCTGTATACGTGAGACCGTCGAAGAGCATTTCAAGCCTGTTGATTATTTTACTGCATGAAGTCCTGTACAACGGAAACTCCAAGTTTAACCTCAAATTAAATGGTAACGATGTCAAGCATTTGAAATATTTTAAAAACTAGTATTAGGTGACCATACTTAATACAAAAGCTGAAAAATGTGAACGATAAAGAACCTGTTGAAGAAAGTAAGTTTTATTGTAATTTACATACATCGAACATATTAAAAGAACTAATTAGTTTGAGAAGAAAAATATAGGTCTATGGTGCAAAATCATTAGTATAAATCATTGTAAAGAGTTTATGGAGTGAAACCTATGGGTGAATGTACTTGTAAGTCTGACAAATAACCGAAAGTTGTCGAGAAAGAATATTAGTGTGCGATATCTGATTAATTTATTTTGTTATTTGAAAAAGTTACGAATGAATATTGTGGAGCTGTATAAACACAACAGTTACTTACTAGAATACGACACTGTTCCGGTGAAAGAACATCTCCTCTGCTGCACACAAGATACTCTCTCTCCAAATGAACAACACCTTTGACTAGTTTAACAGGCATTCCTAACTGGCGCAAAACAGGCTCCATATTGTGAGAAAATTTGGGCAACGGACCAGATGCAATCCGGACCTGAAAATAGACAATGTACACGAAGAAAATCCTGAGCAATCAAATGTACTAAATTGCATTCATAGTTTAGGGATTAACAACGAACATTCAAATACACTAGACTTCGTCAAATGTTGAGTATAAGTTGCCTGTGATTACTTCATAACGGTGAATAACCCATCAATACTATCACGTAAACTTACGAATAGCTTATTTTAGCTAGGAATGAACATTGATCCTTAAATCATATTAAGTAATCTCTGGCATTTTCGATAGAAAAGAACAAAAATAAGGCGAAACTGTTTGAATCACAACATATAAGATTTTATTCTGAATACGCTTAGAACTACTGTTTTGGAGGTGATTTCATTCATGTTTTCTCCATCGAGTTTAGATTTACGTAAGCAAAATATGAGATCATAATCTAAACCAATCGTTTCCAAAAAACAACTATCTTTATGTAATTCTTGGCAGTCATTAACAAAGTTATCTACCATAATAAACAGTTTTAGTGGTCTTAGGAATATTTTAGCCTTCGAATTTTACAGTAGTATGAACTAGAACATATAGTAAGTTAGCTTTCAAACAAGCAGTCATTATAAAATGTCCCCACCGTCTCTTTGATTTCAGTAATCATCTATCGAAGTAATCTACTACAAACACGATCATGCATTTTACTTCCATAAATTAAACGAACCAATGCAATCACTTTATTGCAGTCAACGGAGACAGAAAAATAACAGTGAAAGAAGACAAATACAACATTATTTACAAAATAAATCGCATCAACTAAAATAAAGATCACGTAGGACAATGTGGGTGTCTCGTTTACTTACCCACATATAAGCACAGATTAGTAGTGGAGTGAAATATTATATGATCACTTACAACAATACATGTGAGTAACAATAGACGTATATCCATTAGGGAAACTTTAAGAATCCCAGAGAATTCTTAGAAGCATGGAGTTAGACTCAATGGGTAATCAAAAGAAACATTAACGTACGACAAATCAACCCACGTGGACGTGATCAGTCAATCATAAGGTCAGAATTCGACCAAAAAAGCAGTCAACACGCGTGCAAGAACAAATGGAGGCAACAAACCTACGACAACTATTCACAAATAAAGCTGAACTGATACAACACATGGTATATGAGAGAAGGCTGAATGTTTTTGATCATATTTGTCTTTGAAATATTGTTCGGGTTTTGTGGAACGACCGAGTGAGAAATAATGAGGTTAGGCATATTAACTTGGCAAAGGTAGGAAATTGGTTGAAGTTGTAAATGATAATCGGCTGAAATGGTTGAGGCATGAATTCCGTAGGCTTGGTTACAGTCTACCTTGACAAGTGATACTTACTAGTTCAGAAGCAGGTTGGAAGAAAGTTAGGAGGGACCAAATCAAAACGCTGTATCGATCTATCAAGTTACTAACTGTCGGTTTGAGCCGTATTGATCAATCCATGCTACCTAGTTGAGGTCTACGCGATAACGACCACCATTAGTAGTTGGAGACGTTAGGTGATACAGCTCAGAATCGTTCTCATTGGCGCAGATGAGTTCATTATTTATCTTCTTCCCGACCTGTATTCTTGCATACATACGTTTTCATAATCTTTTCTGACAAAATTTCAAAGGTTTAGTCTTTTTCTCTTAATTGATATCACATTACTTTGATTTCTTGTGTCACTCTCATCTTTTCGTGCTAACCTGAAGTGAGGATTTGGGCCGTTACATAGCTGTGCTAGGCTCCATGTTGGTATTTGTCTGTTTGATATAACACTTGTGAAATAACTTAGTCAGTTACAACGTAGGATCAGGTATATATATGCATTGGTCCAAGTTGCCATACCTCATTAGCATAAGATGAACACCGAATTCATAGTAGTTAATTCAATGGTGATAATATATAAAAGGAAGATTACATATAAAAATATAGTACAGGAAAGAATTAGTTGGTAGAAAGAATAACTCAAAAGCCCATTTCAGTCCTCAACTAGGGCTTGTGAACAACAAACCTGAGAAAACCAGACTAGTTTTAGATCTAGACATGAGAATGGCGATCAAATACCTTCCCATCGTCGGATTCTAGAACATAGGTAGGTGTACCTATATCTGACTATAGTTGTATTTCTTGACCTTAAGGGAGTATTTGACGTTTTTGGTCATGTTTTGCGAGTTTGTTACTGAAAGGCGTACCACAGAAATGCACCAACCTTGTATGGACCCTCTGCAACTGACAGAGCTAGAGCTTATGGAGAACCACAATCACAATTTCCGACTTTAAGGTGTCGATTAGGGTTGTGCAATTTCTCAATTTTTATTTAACTTTGAAGCTTTTTAGAGATAATGCATTCTACCTCGATCTGTTCTAGGATTTATATTCTACCAAAGGATTCACTGATTAACACAAAGTATTCAGATGATATAGTAATCCGTCGACGACGCTAAAAAAATACAGTCTCCTAACGACCTTAATCAACAATTCAGGCATATTTAGAATAGGATTTTCTCCCTTAAAGTGCGAAATTTTGCTTTAGGACTGGCCTACATCAGTGAGTGAATTGATAATAAAGAATGAGGCAGTTGAGTGTGCAGATCGCTTCACACATTTTAGGAGTCTTCATTAACCCTGATGCACTGGTATCTGACGTAATTTCAACACGGATTTAGTAGGTACGGTTGACATTTGCCGACTTATTTCATCCGTATAGTAGACACGATTTCTATCTTTCAACAAGAGGATGAGTATACTATGCACCAGTTCGCTTATATTTCATTTTATGACTGTGATAAGGCCATTGGTAATAAAGTGTTCGTAAACCACTAGTTTTTGATCATAGCTCTTCCCAAACAATTATTCACATTGTTAGCGTCGAGCGAGAAATGAGACTACACGCGCAGTACGGGGTAAAGACGGTAGATTGGTTGGTGAAGTAGTGAATTTTCGTCAAGTGAAGTGGTTGGGACATGTTTTACGTACGTCTAATCACCACCTGACACATAATATTTGCTGGTGTATGAGCAGATTGGAAAGAAACTAGGGTCAGACAAGCCAAAACAAGACACCAGTCTACGGAGTTACTGACAAGTGGACTGAACCATATTAATAAACATAGATCACTTATCTGGGGTCCGCACTAATACTAATTATAGACGGGTAATATGGCTCAGTCGTGGAGTGTTGTGAGTGCTAGTGGTGGCGTGACAGATAAAACCAACTCATGTATAACGAAAACCAAAAAGTAATATGGGAATCTGGGTCATCCATGGTGCTGTTTTGATGCCGGCCTGGCAGTAAGAATTCTGGTTGGAAACGGGTTGGTGAGAGGAGCATTGCTCTATAGTTATGAAACTTGGCCTCCGAGTCGATGATCGATGACTTTCTTTGTTTAATCATCGTTGTCACGGAGGAATTGTTGACACACGTTGGTAACAACATACAAATAATCCTGAGGTTTGGGAATGAGTGTTTAGGTACGATGAAGATAACCCAGTTGGCATCAACATGAAACACCGGCTTCAGTGACTCGGACATATGTTACGAATGTCATCTCAGTGGATTCCACTTCGTGCATTGTTTGCGGACGTTGGGACTGGGCGCTAAAACTGGGGTTGGTAGGTTTGATATGAGACAGGGTAGAAGATTGTAATATATGGTCTCACGTGACAAGTGTTTAGGAACCTGGATAAGGACTACAGAATTACAAAAGTATAGGCCTCTAGAACAGAGAAATAGGAGAAAAAGGTGCTTTAACAATAATGTTATAGATTCAGCTTTGTGAGAAAGTTAATCTTACTAATTTCATGGGAGGCAGACGAAATTTAAGTGAATATGCTATTCCCACGAAGCAACGAAGAGGAATGTGCGAGATATTTCACTTATATGTAATCAGCTATTAAACAACTACAAAAAGATGAGTGCAACTGATTTACACAACTGATAAAATAGGTTTTTTGTCATCGTAATCCAAGAGAATAATATTTCAAACATAACACCAACTTCTTTAGATCACGAAAGTTATCATTTTTGAGAAGTTACCTCTTTGAACTTCTGACCACCGTTACTCTGTTATTCTTGAATAAGACTTGGTAGTGTTCAGACAGGCATGGAGTCCGAAGGGGCCGACAGTAGTCTTTATCGTCACGAGTTTACACGTTTGCCATCTTTGACATCCATAGACTTATGAAACTGAATATTCGGAAGACAGTTGAAAGCACGGTTTCGTGTACGATCTCAGGATTCTTAAAACACTGAAATATCTATTAAAAACATAAGTCACCCTAATAACAAGTAAGACCATATTTATAACGGCACTTAATCGCTTATTTCAGCCCAGAAAGTAACCGAGTTATGAAGTTTATGGAAATTCGAAAGCTCAGAAAGTGGGTTCATTAGACTACCTAGAACAGATCACCTTTACAGGTCTGTCAGTCAAGCAAATACCACCGATGATTTATATACGGGATAATCTGCTCGAAATGACACTACTCACTGTAAAGCACCTAGATAACACTCACTCGTTCAAAGTGACATTCTTGGACGACTAGATGCAATAGCTCTAGAAAACGCAAAACATAACAGTGGGACCATGGGAATGTCGCCCCGAATTTTGCTGTAGAAACCCTTAAGAGTCAACACTTCTTAGAACAGATTACATCATTTTGAAGGACAAATACTTTAGCGGGAATAAATGGAGATTAACATTACCGATTAAGTCTTGAACTACAACTGTAGGTTATATTTAATTAAGAGGTTTTTTCATTTGTGGAGCCACATGATATATGACATTACGTACTAGGTCAATGAAGGAATATAAAAACTCACAGTTTGCTCAGCAAGTACACCTGGTCTACTGTATTCTGACGACCGGAACGCATCAAGCTGCTCGCGTAATTCTGGAGGCGGTGATCGTGAAAACAGCAGGGCACATTGTCCTTTCAGATATTTGGATAAAAGGTGCAATTTTGGTCGATAACTATCTTCATGAGTTTTACCCAACGCCAAAGTCGTCACCTTGTTGACACCAAATAGAAGCCTAAACAGTATATCACACAAATTAGGAACAACTTTATTTTCACCATGCTTTTTCGTATTTCGGAAACTTTTTGGGTGCGAGGATTTTGCAGAGTCACTACATATACTCTTCCATATTCATCCAGATATTGACGAACCTTAAAGCTCCATAAAATTACCACCAATTTAATACCTTCTCAATGTGTTCTTTTTTCTTAGGAGCATGTTTCAGAACCTGAGTAAGTTCGACTGAAAAGGGCTGTACACAGAGAACTTCCCGAGCTTACCTTTCTTGTCACGCCTTGAAACAGGCATTTTGACCAATCCGCCTTTGTCGATGCTCAGTTTTTCACTCACATGTCAGATTCAGATTTCATATTTGTGCAGTAAGGACAGAAGGCCTACGGCCTGTGATATTCTTTATCAGTATGCTTGTGTGAATGAGGTGCCGACACCACTGTTTCGAGTAAAAGGTTCCCAGAATTGACGACTAAGTGTAAAAACCTGTATACCATGAATAATTTGTTCGCTCTTGATTTTTACATTCGCCTGCTATGTCCCCTGATACAGCCCAATCTAGTGGGAAGAGAAAGAGAGGATATATTAGGTCCGAAATCATTTCTTAGCATTGTAGCAGTAAATAAATCCCCAAAACAAATAGCTCTGTAAGTCTTCGACATTGGATGCTGACCACATAACAGTTTTAATGGACTCACCTAGCTAAAGGTGCTAGGCCATGCATCCGCACCAGATCACCAGTGGGAACACCATGCTCAACTTAACCTTCAATTGCTAGCCAGTTTAGGCCAGTCGACTGTCGATATATTGATAGCTTATCAAATATATCTTCGAACCTCCTCGTTTCTGACTTTTGATTTCACTAAGTGGGCGCGATTCATAATGGAAGGTGTTACTGGTTAAAGCGTTGTCACACTCCAAATACCTGTGGCATCTTCAATATTCTATACATCAAAATCAGATCACCTCTTAATCTGTGATAGAGCAAAGTAAAGATGTCTAACTTTTCAGGTCATTCTTTGTATGATAAACCACAGAGTTTTAGAGTTCAATGGATAGCTTCCCTCTGTACTTTTTCCAGGATATCCGAGTCGCCTTTAAAACAGGGGCTTGCAGCGTGAACGCAGTTTTCAATTTTAGTTCTCACTAAGATTGTGTATAATGTAGTTAACATGGTAGTATCTAGTTTGATAGGTGTCCGTCTTAGAGCCTATAGGTTTCTAAACCCCTTGGCCTCTGCCTTCCAGCAGTAGGCCGTGGTCCACTGATTTCCGATTGTTTAGAGACTGTCCATTGCTCCCTTACTATAATGAGGTTTGTTGTACAAGACAAACCTTTTCTGAAAGCATGCTGTTGGCTCTTTAACAAGTTGTTGGTTTCCGCGAGTGTCAATATGGCCTTTTTGACTATCCCAGTATTTTATTCACGACGATGGTGAGGCTGACAGATCTGTAGTTTGATGAAAGTTGTCTTGGTCCTGTTTTATGTAGTGGAGTGACAATTGCATCCTTCCAGTCGTAGGTAACACACTTTGGTCAAGTGACATTAAATATCACAGTTAGTGGGGCCGCAATATATTGTGAAATTTGTCTCACAATTTCGGGGTGTAGTTCACCCGACCTTGTTGACTTTTCCGTGTCTAAGACGCTAAGAGCCTTAAGCTTATCGTATTGATCAAAGTCCACGATGAACAGACGGTTTTCCGACCTTGTATTAGGGTCTAGTTCTTCGTTTGCAAGAGGCTACTGTGGCAAAACTGCCCCGTAACAGGTTGCCATGGACTCTGCTTTTTTTCTGATCATCCTACATAGTTTCAGATCAACTCTCTTAATTAGAGTGCCAATCTAATGCTGCATCCTCGTTAAAAAATCTATAAAGCATCAGGAAGTCTAGGATGACTAACGCGGAATAATCAGTTGTGTGTCATGTAATGGCCCATAAAAGAGTGATCATGCTACGTTCCGACAGTCTGTTCTCACTCATGCATTTCTTCAAAAAAACCATGTTCGTTATATGCGGTCATTAAGGTTATCGCAGAACTGGGGTACTACGACGGTAATCCATATTAGGCAATAATCACACAGAATGACCTCGATATAGGCTAAGAGGCAAAGCTATTCCCATCCAATCGGAACAAACCTTGTGTGGCGTTTCGATGAGCTAATGACTTTTGTACTCGATGTGTGCTTGATTTTGTATTCCAAATAGAGTACTGTAGGGCCAAAGAAATTACACTGAACCCTAGGCAAACCATCCGACAGTTGGGTCATTGATTATCGAACAAAATATCGATCCTCGTCAATGTCGAAGACAACAAACGCGCATTAGTTAGTTGTACGCCAAAGACTGGCTCATGCGGCAGTGGTCTCACCTTCGCTCGTATCTACTTTAACTAATATATTTCTGTAATTACGTCCTCTGTGTTGTACAGTCTTCAAAGCATCTATAGTACCTTGATACGTCAATGGGTTGTCCACGTATAGTGCTGACCACGAGGTGTGACTTTGACGCTAGCTGGTTCGTCACACCATTCCCGTCTAACTCGAGTAGGGTTCCGATCATTCGACATTGATCATCTACCTTGGTGATCTACACTGGTGAGCAAGACTTCGAATAACGCAACCTATCATTATAATCTTTGTTATTGCAATATATGCTTATTCTTTCCATTTCTATCATCGTCTATGTTAATCTGTTACTGTGAACTTTCGTTGCTTCATGTCAATGTTGATTATCATTTAAACTTAAGTAATTAGTTCAGTCGATAGAACTAACTAATCAACTACGACTATAATGGACTGTCATGGTAATTTAACTAGCATTAGCAGCATGTAAATGCTCCTGTGTAATATGCCTGTTAAAATATCAGCCACTCGATAGTATAGCCACAAGGCAACACGGACGCACATCTGTTTGTAATTTATCCACTGGTATAAGCGAGACAAAATTAACTATCGACTATAAATTCATTTTTCCTCTTAACCACTATCCACTAGAATGTTCTACTTTTTTGACCACCGTCTGCCTAGTTTCCAATTGCTGAGTTCCATGGCCAAACAGAGGATACGAATGCTAGAAATTTACGGTGAGTTTGAACTACAAGTTTTCTGCAGTTTTAGATCTCGTTTAGACTGTTCGTCAGGCAATGCTATGTATTTGGCTTAAATTAATTTTGGACTTATACAAATTCAGTCTACAACGCTGTGTTATTCGAGGAATTCGATCAACAGTACTTCGTATATAATCCAGATTCGAACTACTGTCTACTTCATATCTTCATTACTTGGAAGCAATAGTAACCCAGGAGAGTTTCATAATTTCATTAGATTATTTCGTACTATCTTTATGATTCGTAATGATATTTCGTAGTTGCTTTTGCGTAAAGTAGTCATATATTCTGTCACTTCCATAGAGTTTCAGTCGAAATCATGTACATTTATGACTCGTTAGTCGACATACTGTGGTAAAAAATATTGCATCTACACGAGCACTCTGAGCTGATGTATATTATTATTATTTATTATTTGAACACATAAATATTAGTACAAGGGGGCACCAAATATATATGCGCCACACAAAACAATGATAATTTGAAGAAAAGGAGGAAAAAAGTAGTGAACGTGGGGAATTATAAAAAAAGAGAGAACAATAATAGGGGAAACGGAAAGGTACAATCAGAAGATATCTCACATTCAAGGAGGATACAGCCACTTTTTATGAAGAAAGTAAAAGAAGGTTACAGAAGGATCGCCATTGGCTTCTATTCTGAGCTATGTCTGATAACGTCTCTAGCCACTGTGTTACACCGTCTCTCGGACCCCAGCCAGGGAGTCGTGAAGAACCAACAGAAGCTAGCCCTTTGCAGCTTTCTTTCATACCACGACACCATGTCATATACTGACCACCTCTCCGCTTTTTCCAACCAGTCCCAGAGTCGGCAAATAATGCACGATGAGGAATTCTCTGGGACGACATTCGTAGAACATGTCCAAGCCACCGAAGTCGGTGTTTCAAGATGGTGACACCAATGGAATTATCGTCTCTGTACCCGAACACACGATGCCGAACCTCTGCATTACTAACATGGTGTTGCCACTGGATGTCAGCAATCCTTCGGAGACAGCGATGATCAAACACAGAGAGTCTTCTAACATCCTCAACTCGGAGAGGCCAGGTTTCACAAGCATAGAGCAAAACTACTCTCACCGACGCGTTGTAGATCCGACCTTTTACAGTCAGACCAACATCACGAAGACGCCAAAGATGGCCCAGATTGGTATAAGCCGCTCTGGCTTTCACTATACGTACATTGATCTCATCACTCACGCAACCACCAGCACTTATGCAGCTACCTAGATACACGAACTTCTCGACTACCTCTATCTGCTCACCATCCAGAGTGAGTACAGGATTAGAATCCTGCCAGTCTTGTAGAAGTACGTTGCACTTCGAAGGTGCAAAGCACCTTTTTCTTTTCGGTCGCAATTTCGCTATTTCGGGAATTCCCAGTTCTTACAATAATTCAAGTATTTCTACTCATCACACCCTATTAATCGACACAAATTACTTACATTGGTGAACTATATATAATATATCATTCTAACCGTTTAGTGGTGGTAAAAGCGTATGAAAGCATATTTTTAACGCAATCTGAATGTTATGTCTTAACATTCACGGTATGTATGCATAATATTGCAGTTCTAAGCTTCGTCACATATATCTTGTCAAAAAATATCACGTGTTTAATTGAGTTAGGAAATGCGGAGAAGTTAAACTTTTACAGACGCAACGTCTTCAATACGTTGCACAAACTTTCTCATCCATGTGTTCGTGCAACCATCAAGCTTATAGCAGAACGGTTTTGCTGGCCTGATATGAATAAAGACGTGAGGGAGTGGGCACGCTCCTGTGTAAGCTTCCAGAAATCTAAGGTTATTAGACACAACAAATTTCCCTTAGGCTCGTTTAAAGCTCCCGATGCTCGCTTCGACCACGTTCATTCGGATTCGGTAGGACCTTTACCAGACTCAAATGGATATTCTTATCTTTTAACCTGCGTAGTCCGTTTTACTCGATGGCCAGCAGCAGTACCCATCAAAAAAATTACTGCTGAAACAGTGGCCCGCGCTTTCGTCGAACACTGGGTAGCAAACTTCGACTACCCAACAACCATCACTACAGATCGTGGATGCCAGTTCGAAGCTGAACTTTTCCGTTTTCTGACCGCAATATTAGGAATCACTCACTTCCGAACGACCGCCTACCACCCTTAAGCAAACGGGTTAGTAGAACGCTTTCACCGACAAATAAAAGCGTCACTGTCAACCGAAATCATCTCTCAGTGGACTGACGCTCTTGCACTCGTCTTACTAGGTATTCGAAATGCAGTGAAGGCTGACATTGAATACGCTGCGTCTCAACTCTTTTATGGTACGACCCTTTGACTTCCAGGAGAATTCGTGGA